AGTTTGGCTTGGTGGAATTAGTGTGAAAAACAACAACTTCTTAAAATTCCTACAAATTTCTTGATTGGAATCTGTGCAATTTTCCCACTGCAGTTGCTGTACCTTCCCTGCAACTGCACTACACCCCCCATTTTGGGAACCACGGGCTTAACCTGTCATACACACTTTTATGTAGATTTAAGCATCATGTTTATGAGAGCCGAGCTTTCTTTTCCCAGCCACTCAACAATGCATCGACGACATCACTCAGTGACCTTTTGCTTCCTATTGGTGGGTTGAGTTTTGCATCATCATCTATAAATTAATGTGTCGGACAAATCAGGTTGTACTGAAGAAAATCAAAGGATACTGACATGGACCAGTACTACTTTGGAAAATGTAACTATAATAAGAAATCAGTTGCAAAGACACCTTTATAACATAGACAAACCCAATGCAACTATAGTCTGTGACTGGAAAACCTTCCCCCATTTTTATGTATAGTGTATTTAATTTCTGCTTAATAATTTGTTTTTATTAAACTAGATTTATATCTATGTCTTCCCCGGTGTATAACTCTTTTAGAGATACAAACAGGAAAGTGAATTTAACCCTCCTCTTGTGTTAGCTTTCTGGTATCATCTCTTATGTTAATGGCTTGGTTTTGACCCATGTATTAAATTAGCTATAAAATACACTAAAAACAATAAGCTATCATCCAATTTGTTTCTCATCTCTTGGTTACCTTGTTTGGCTATAAAATACACTAAAAACAATAAGCTATCATCCAATTTGTTTCTCATCTCTTGGTTACCTTGTTTGGCTTCCTTATCCATGAAAATATTGATTTTAATACTTTTGGTGTGGGCCTCTGGGCCTTTTTCTGTCAGTATACCACTCGATTTAAAATTTTAAAAAATGGTAAAATGAACCTCAAGAGAATCATATTAATAAATAAAAGGTTGTTGTGTTACCTGACTATTACTGAGGGGTATAGAACACATCTTTTGAATAAATTTGTTTGTTTGTTTGTTTTTTTTCATTTTAATATTAATAACTAAAGTAACATCTATGGTGTTACGGGTCAATTTCGACCCATATATATTTACATCAAGAAAAGGCAAAAAAAGGATTTTTTTCCAGCAACAGAACTGCACTCATCTCTCCCAGACATCACTAATAGGAGCAAGCTTGTCAGATCTCACTCTGGTCTCTCTGTTGTCAAATCTGAGGACTCTTGATATCATTTCAAATGTCTGAAGTGACATTGTTTCCCAGAAAATATTTCTGCCTGTCGATGCGCCCCATAGAGTATCAGTGGCTTCACTGCAGGATCTGTACACTCCAGCAAGAAGAACACCAATTAAATTATCCAGGTATTCCTCATCAATGTCTTTCCACATGTCCCCATGGACTTTTTTTTCCTTCAAGGTTCATCATAGTAATGATGATTCTTTTTAGTGACAATGGCATAAATAGCTCAAAACATGTCTCGATGTCACTGACTCTGGTCACAGCAAACCTTGTGATTCCAGGGTTAATTTTGATAACATTTGCAGCAGCTGCCCTGCCATGTACATCATGAGGTACTGAGCTCTAAAAGATTTTTTGGCTTGAATATTTAAGCAGGAGCAGCATCAGCACCAGTGACCTCCTCATCTGACTCATCAGATTTGTCTGTGTCTTCTGGATGATACTCCACATTGTCTTCCTCCTCAGAAACCTGCTCATCTGAATCGCTATGCTGCTCTGTGTCCTCTCCCTCATTTTCACCAAAGACATGATCCAGAACTTGGCCAGAACCTAATTTTTGCATGCTGTAAATTGTAAATGTGCACTCAAGTCAAATGGCCACTCAAATGCGTGAATTCACTTTACATCTCTGGACATGCCCATCTTTGTTAGTTTTGTTTTTGTGGAGGTATACTGAAAAACCACGCAAAATCAGAATCCCCTAAAGGTCACATGATTAGGAGAGGAGCTGGCTGTCAGTGTGTCAGCTGACAGTGCATTTATGATTTCAATTTTGGCTCTAATTATTGCTCTATAATTGTATTATTATAACTGGGTCGTTATAATACCCTAACAACACAAAGGTCATAATTTCCACCAGAGCATTTTATAATTTAGTGAGAAAAATATATATATATATATTTTGCTTTATCTTGTTGAAGTAGAGGTTCCTGACAATTCAAAAAGCCTTGATGCATAAATAAAACGGATCGTGCCGACCCTAACACAAGAGGAAGGTTAAACAGTACTTATAATGTATGGTGTAACTGTTAATTCCCCATGTCGTGGCCCTCTGCCACCCCGGATTCGCTGATCGATCTCAAACGGTATTAACCAAGAACTTTCATAAAGTACAAAGAAAAGACAAAAGTCGTTGCTCGAGTTCGCCTGTGCACAGGGAGGATCCAACGGAGAGTCAGAAGACTAACTGCTGAATTCTGCCCCTTCACAAGATCAGGCTCTTTTTATTAGCAGACCCTTGCCCAAAATACACAGATGTTGCACGTCAGATTGACATCCTGTTTGTTATCATATTTGATAAACGATCTTATTGTTCTTTGTTTTCCACACTCACACTGGCTTCAGCTCAAGACCTGGTTATTGTCACGTACACCTCCTGAGCTTCTAACCCAGGGTCAAGGCCTATCCTGTCGCATCAGATGTTTCACTACACATCCTGAGTTTACCTTAATTCCTGTTTCAGAGTGTCTGTGTATTTTATATTGCAGGATCCAAGCAGCATGCTTATGCTTCCACACAGATTACATATTTGCACATTTTCCAAAGCATGTTTAAATGCAATACATTTTATATTTTCCACAAGCAGCATATTTATATTTTAGGCAGGTTATATGTTTTTAGCGCATATAACTTTATCTCTTATGATCTTTTAAAACATGATTATATATGTTGCATACTTCTATAAAATATGAACACATAAATACATTTCATCAACACCCAGTAAATCAGGTTACTTACATAGTGCTCGTAGAATTTGGAAAGCCTTGGTTTGCCATGGTTGTTGAACATAAGAATGGCTTTTATCATGACTGTAGGTAGGAGGCGAGGAACCAGCGAGGCCTCAGTCGGACGGAGACTGGAGTCTGTTTCCTGCCCTGAACCCACGACTGACCGGGACACACCGGAAAACCCCGTCTATGACTTGAGATGAATGTGGGAGAACGTGGAATTGAATGCGGCAGCTGCTGTTACTCACTTCACGGAAATTTTCCACGTCAAAGAACCATTTATGCTCTCCTCCTCCTCCTTCTCCTGCTACGGCAGCCACGATGGCCCAAATCTCATCCCTCCGCCCGAGGCTGCGCATCACAAGCTAGAAAATAACGCATATCGATTTTAGATGAGTAGTTTAAAATACCGCCCGTATTTTTGTTTATTTCAGTGCTCTCGTTTGTATGAACAATTAATCGCTCAATCCAGTGGCGCTAAAAGTGAGGGACCCGAAAAGTTATTGCAGTGACGACATAGCAAACCTAATTTATTTTAATTTTTACTTAATCAATTGTAATTTCAATGTCCTTTGTTCAACGAGAATAGAACAAATTTGTTTCAAGTGTAGTGTTTTAAATTATTTTTGAAGAAGTTGAGATCTGAAGCAATAACTTTGAATATGATGATCTAATCTATGTCAACGTATGTAGTAGTAGCTAGAAAAATACATTCCAAAATTATTAGTTACCAACATACCCAGATAAAAAAATAGTAAAATAACATAATGAGTATGAGAGTAAAGAGTAAATGATACATGACTATAAAAAACAAATAATTTACAGCAATTTATAACTCTTTTTTTTACTGGTTTAGTTCTGAATGCATATGGTATCAGGTAGGTCCAGTTCCTCGGAAAGCCATTTTTCATCAGCCTTGCTTTAGAACTAGGTAGACTATTAGAATCAACACTCTGCATTATATTCTAGACCACAAAATAAAATACACTTAACTCTCAACTTAAAGTTTTTTAATTACATATTTCTGCCACAAGATAGAGTAAAGGTATACCCACTACTGATGATGTGGCAACTCAGGGAAACCTGGCTTTGGTTCTGATGCAAAGAAGATTATCTTCTTCTAATGCTGCCCAAAAACACAAAAGAGCAGCCAAAAAAGATTTCCCCTTTGCCAAAGAACACATTTCAAAATTTTCTGGAACACAACTGTAATTTGGAATTTTATCTGAGGCAACCAGCAACACGAATATTCTGGACCTTTAGAACTGTTTACTTTGGGTTCCTTAGATAAAGATCTGCAAAAGATCCAGAGCTGCATGTAAGAGTAAACACACATTTTACTTTTACCATATGTGCTCTATAACAGCCCTGCTCCACACGGTGAGTTTTCCCGTAGCATCTGTCCTCTTCTCCAGACTTTTGGGTGGAGCACTGACTGTGACTCCATCTGTATGATGGACTCTGTAATTCATTTAAAAAAAATCAAACAGTACAGTCACAGAACTTTATATTTCATTATACATCCTGTGTACTACATACTACACATATCATAACATCCATCCATCCATCCATTTTCATCCGCTTATCCATTACCGGGTCGTGGGGGCAGCAGTCGCCACCCAAATCACACTGCATCGTACCAACCCCCCTGAACCTTCCTGCAGGTGGTGAGTCCACTGGAAGGTACCAACCACCCTAACCGGGATTCGATCTTGCCCAGGACGTGAACCCTGGGGTTCCACACTGTCAGGAAACTTTTTCTGTTAGGACTGTAAAATATGCTGTTAGTTCATACCCCAGTTTCCTAACACACAATGAATCAAATAAAAATCAAATATGAGATCTCGGTGCCACCGGTGAACAGGAGGAGCACAGGACTACTGCCACTACCACTACTGCAGCTTTTTTTTCTTCATTGGTTTTTATGTATTTGTACAATGTATGTTCTGATAACATCTATTGCACGTCTGTCCGTCCAGGGAGTGGATCCGTCACCTGTGGTTCTCCCTAAGGTTTCTACCTTTCTCTTTTCTCCCTGTTGAAAGGGTTTCTCTTTCGGTAGTTTTTCCTTACCCTGGCTGACGGTCTAAGGACAGAGGATGTTACCAACCCTGTGAAGCCCCATGTGACAAACTGTGTTTTGTAAATGTGGGCTATATAAATAAAATTTGATTGAAATTTGATTGAGTGCTGTCCATATCATATTGTTATGTAATCCACCAGCATGCACACCTGTCTTCAGCACTTTTCCTTTTAGTACAGCACAATAACAGCATTCAATAACAGTATAAATTGATATGGAAACTTAATACAATGAATATATTCTAAAGATTCAGTAAATGTATTTACAACATCTTAACACACACCAATGAAAGAAACATTGCCTCTGGGCCAAAGCACCACATATCATAACATATGTAACATATTTATGACATTTTATGGAAGTTTTATATATAAAATAAAATATGATATAAATATGAATCTATCTAATGTTCATAGTGTTCGGGACTGCAATACTGTACATATAACAGTGATCTCACACCATAGTTAGTATACTTCACTTACCTCACTGTGCTGCAATTGGTTTAGCTCCACTGTGTTGCAGTATTCTTAGCAGACTTCTGTATAAATCAACTTTGCACAGACCATAACAAATACTGTGTTGTGTGCAGAGTTTAAACAATGGCACTGCAGTACAAATGCTGCAGTACTTTTTTCCGATTAGAGCTGTAGCATTATGGTGTTTATGGTTATCAGAGTTAACCATTATCTACAACATCTAAATTAGCTGTCTTTTTTAATGTCTTTCCTCCTATGTTACAACCTGCTTATCACTTTCCAATTTAGTGTTTTATGTTCAGAGCTGTTTTGGGGTGTATTGTTACTACATGGTACTACAAATCCAATCATTCTTGTATTGTTGGGAAACATGTTGATCTTGTGTCTGTGAATTTAGTCTCAACCCAATCATTTAGTCGTGTTTGGTTTCACCAGATCTGGTAGTCATTGCATATTCCACATTTAAAATAACATACTTCTCACATTACACTAGTGGTTCCAAAATGTTTTCTGTAGCACCTCCCTTGGTTAGACAGGGCAATTGTCAGGCCATCACCACATTGACACATTCAGTGCTACTGCTGCAAAACTCCACTGAACCTTTTTCTGTTTTAAACCACTCTAATCGCTGAACTAGGGATATAAAATATAAAAACTGTGAAATGTTCCCACTGTAAAAAGAACATATATATATGTTAAGATATTGTAAATACATTTATTCAATCTTTACAATATATTAATTGTATTAAGTTTCCATATCAATTTATGCTGTTTGTTTTTGAATGCTTCACTAAAAGGATAAGTACTGAAGAAAGGTGTGCATGCTGATGGTTTACATAACAGGATGGTGTATGCTACTGATGGCAGTGACTGTTACGCTTGGAGATAGAGACAGGTCACAGAACCGGCCTGAACCAGTTTCTCTGCCCAAATAATGAGGAAAACAGAACATCAAACAGGAAAAGAATCCAAAGTGCATTTCTTTGATCTAACCTGAGTTACTGAGCAGAATAGCTCAGCACATGTACATGTTTTCTATTGGTGGAGAATCTTTGTTTGGAGCAGCCTTTGCCAATCAGCGCTCAGAAGTGGTGCGTGAACACCACATGGCTGTAAAGGGTTAAGGTTCTGACCATTGATGTGTGTGTAAAAAACTGTATTTAAGCTTTGAGCACTGAGGAGTTCCTCAGTGCAGTTCTGAATGTAACCATTGTTCTGAACTCCTTGCTTGCAAATAAAACTTTTAAAACTTGAGATCTCGTATTTGATTCTTTATTTGATCAGATCTTTATTTGATCTTTATTTGAATTCCTTGTGTGTTAGGAAACTGGGGTATGAAATAACAGCATGTTTTGCAGTCCTATCCAACTGAAAAAGTTTCCTGACAAAGGGAAATAGAAAAAAGGACAGAGGGAAATAAGTAAGAAAGGAAGGAAAAACGGAAGGAAATAAGGAACAGGAGAGTAGGAAATAAGGAAGGAATGAAGTATGGAAAGAAAGAAGGAAGAGAGGAGGGAGGAAGGAAGGAATAATGTATGGAGGAAATAAAGAAGTAGAAAGGAAGCAAGGAATTTAAAACAACGTTATTTAAAACAACCCAGACCTCCTGAAATTACTGATCCTATATAGATAAAACAAAAACAATTAAATACGTAATTAAGAATTCAGATGACTGACACTGTTTGCCACCTACACATCACAAATAGAATCTTACCTTAGAGTTTTACTGTGCTTATTGTCATGTGCATAGCAAGAAAACACCAGTGTCCTGTACAATGAAATGATCGCTTTACTGGCCACACCGCTGTGCATTATAATTATTCTGTGACATAGGCTATTACACATATACAGACAACAGTACCAAGCCTCCCATAAAGACAAACTATACAGCGCGTCACACATGCTGGCACACAACTGAAGCACACTGGCAGCCAACCATAAAGTTCAACTCTGTTATCACAGAAGATGTTCAACAACAGTTGTTACAGCATGGTTGTAAATACAGTATAGGCCTAAACATGTTAAATAACGTGTCTTACCTATTGCAGAAGTAAACGCCGCAAAGTAAATGATCGTTTCGTCTTTCCAAATATCTTTGTAGGACATTCCGAAAGAGCAGGGTGCTTGGGACAGCAATTCTTTTCGCCAAGATCATTTGGTGGTCGCTCTGCTGTGGGCAAGCTGGCTAATTAGCCCAATGGCAGCCCCGGTGCTAAGTGTAAGGTGGAGTTAACTGG